ACACCAAAGAGAGCATGGACGCAAGGTAAATGTTGGTTCCGAAACGAAGCAATGGGGAAGAACAGCCTGTCAACAATCATGCAGAGGATAGCTGATAGCGCTAAGCTATCACAACGGTATACATGTCATTGCGTTCGTGCCACCACCGTCATGACATTGCATCAAGCTGGAGTGGCAGCTGAAGATATCGTTAAAGTAACAAACACAAAAGGACCGCAAGCCTTTCACATTACATTGACGACATGTCAGTTCCTCAAAAAAGGCGTTGCTCTGAGATATTGGCACAAACGATGACCTGGCAGTCCGACACAGCCGCAAGTATAGTCCCAGGGTGCAGCGCCACGGTGATACAGAACGGAGGGCCTGCTTGCTACCTCACGACGGTTGTGCGAAGAAAAGCCCAACTTTAATCTGACCATCGGTGGGATGGAAGTGGAAGACTGGCTGAACATGAACGAACAGGAACATCGGGTGCCTGACCCACCGGAAGTCCGTCAAAGCCAGCAACTGGTAACTGCGAGAACAGCTCTGTCGTCACTGCTCCCGAATGCAACGTTCAACGGGTCTTGCGTTATCAATGTGAACTTTCACGCGTAAGGATAGGTACGCCGTACAATAACATAGCGAAAACGCATCAAATGTGCAATCGGTCGTGCATCGGTCTATGACAAGTATTGTAAATGAAATATAAATCAACAACTGTTTGTACAGAACCGCCTACTTCTTTCAGTTGCAATAACCGCAATTTTCATTAAAATAATTTGTGGGATTCATTTGAGAATATATATTTGAACACATTTGAGCTGTCGGGCGCTAATGAACTGTCGGGCGGATAATGACCATTATTGGCCCGTCAGCTTTTATTTTGAGGGCAATATAGAGTTTGAGCCGCCCTCCTAAATGACGGTAATCGGCTAGTGATCGGCCCGTGCAAGTGACAATAATAAGTTTTTATCATAGAAAACCAATAGTTTTTTTTAGTTAGAAGCCGCCAAAAATAGGGTTGCACCGTGACCTTCAGGAATTGCCCGAGGCTATATCTCGGAAACCGTTGTTCGAAGAAAAAATCCTTGCAGCAGTTGGCTTCCCCGCCCATCGCAACCGCTAAGACCAGTTTTAAACGAAAAATAAAATATGTGGGTGTCAAATTTTTTTTTGGTCGATCTGTCGTGGAATCTGTTGACCGAGTCTCTGTTGACCGAGTAAATTATGTATACATTGTCTCTCTTTGCGCGTGAAGCAATTGTAAACACTATCTACGGTCGGGGATAAGACACGTTAAACGTAATTAGTAAATAAGGTTATGTAGTTGCCATGGCAACTGACAATATGCTTCACAATGACTTTTTCTCAAGACAAGTATTTTTTTTTTTGCTAGAGAGTCCAGTTTTATAGACTACTGACGCGGCAACATGGAGGTCTCTGATAAGGGCATGGTTACTTTTACAGAAAAAGTTGAGAGGGAGAATAAAGTTCGGGGCAAGGGCGGATCCCCGGGCATCTGAAAGGGGGCCAAATGCCCAATTCCCCTGGTCACACCGGCATAAACACCAGGATCATATATGACCAGACTAATTTTTACCTGTATGCACCGAAACCCCCTAACCCAATGTATGTATGAATGTATGAATGCTCATTTCGGGATCGTAGCGGGAGGTTCAGTCAATGGCTCATTAGTCCATTGACTACTTTCTGCCTTCTTCGTATGCCATACTAACAATCCCTGGCTCCTCTCATTTCTTCTTTGCTTGTGTTTAGTTTATTTCCTTTCTTAGCAGGAAGTGCCGCGACATTTATCTCCTCAGTTTTTCTGGTGTTAACGTAAGGGTTCTGTTGTCGCTGGGTTCGAGGGCGGGGGCACTCCTGGTCACCTGTTCATGGGTGGCGGTGTATTTCTATAAAAAAGCCATTAGTTTTCGTTAATAATTCCCGATCGTTTGCGACACACCAGACAGGACAATCTTTTATTTCTACCGAGGGTCAGAACGAAAACCGGGAAGAGGCGTTTCGCGTACCGCGCAGCTCTGGAAATGAATCGACTTCCATACGACTGCGAGAACATGTCAATCGGGAAGTTTGAGACAGCTACGGCGGCGTCTCCTCTCTCAGGTCACTTGAAGCTGATTTTAGTAGCTTTTACCCTCGCTTTATGTACCTCGTTTGACTAAGAACTATAAAAACCACATCCGTGTGGAGAGCTGGTGCTTTTACAAATACAAATACAGGAAATGTCGGCTAGTCAGATTTTTTAGGATTGCCCGAACCGATATGAAGTGGAATCATACATTTTTACTGAATCTGCATGCTTGCGTATTTTGAGGCATTTGTTGGCGGACTTGGTAGCGCACTTATGGAATCTAAGTGACGTAATTAGTAATCCCTATGTTTTATCCAGACCCCCCTCCAACGGGCTCTTGGCGTCCCTATTATAGGAGAGCTCCTCCTCCTCCTGGTCCTTGTTCCCCACCCCCATGCTACGGCTGAAATGGGAGCCTACCCCCCACACGTGGTGACACAGCCGGAGACGACGCCCGCGGAACAGGCGGAACCGGGAATCGAACCCGAAACCCGGCACCGTCCGCACCGCGGGTCGACGCCTTTACTCTATGCCTGGCCTATTCAAATACATTAGCCGGAGGAGTGTGGTAATAACTGGTGTAAGCAAATTGACCACGGTCAAAAATGCATTACCAGTTTGCACTTTAGCCAACGTTTTGGCATGGTCTCGTTCCTAAGTTGGTTAAGAGCTTCGGTCCAGAACATAAATTTATCGTTGGTATACAGTAAAATACATACCAAAGTCGGCCGGTGATAACTTTTCAAGACCTCAGTCCTTACTGATTTTTGAACTCGGCCTTCGGCCTCGTTCAAAAATCCAGTAAGAACCTCAGTCTTGAAAATTTATTTACACCGACCTCGTTCAGTATTATATATTCCCATACCTGCTACATTGCATGGTTAAATCGAGACATCCAGGCATTTAAACGGCACGTGCACTGTACCACACTTTTCAAAGTTTAATGCAATGCTTTAATATTACAAGCCGTGTGGTTCAAGGGGTGTGGTTAAACACGTTGAACCACACGGCTGCTGACGTCACTATCATATAGTTGTGAGCCTTTTGGCAGGTATAGGAAACACCTTCCAGCCCTAAGGCCGGGAATTCAATAAATGTCACCTCGCTTTTTTAGCAAAATCACCTCGGGCCTAACGGCCCTCGGAGTTTTCGCTAAAAAACCTCGGTGAAATTTATTGAATCATCCCGGCCCCGGGCAGGAATATATTTAACCGACTGCGTCACCAGGGCTGCATATTTGATTGCCGATCATATACAAAATAAATGTGTTAGGAACTATAAATAAAAACTTTTAAGCAATATGTAGTCCTACCTTAAGGTGTCGATAACCACTGACCGCTGACTGCTGACCACTGACCGATACGACTGGCCACTGACCCATACCACTGACCACTGAACCAACCCACTGACCACTCCACTGACCACTGTATGCTGGCATTGACAACTGATGGCTGATCACTGACCGCTGACCACTGACCACTGGCCCATACTGCTGACTACTGACAGCTGACACTGACCGCTGACCACTGACCACTGACCACTGACCGCTGACACTGACCACTGACCACTGACCACTGATCACTGGCCCATACCGCTGACTACTGATGGCTGGCTGACTACATGGACGAAGGAAAAATTTCGATTCTGGTCCTTTTAGATTGTTCCAAGTGTTTTGACGTGATCTCACATGCGAAGCTTTTAGAGAAACTACTGCTCTACGGCGTTGAAAATCACTGGTTCACTGATTATCTTCGAAACCACCGACAGCAGGTAAAAATCACCACGAAGGACGGCATCAAAGTTATGTCTGTCGCAGGTACGCCCGAATAGCACTGGGGTTTACCAGGGCGGTTCACTGTCCTGTTTGTTATTTTCGATCTTTTCCAACGAGCTCAATCTGTACACTGAGAGGACCAAGCTTGTATCATTTGCAGACGATACTCAAATCTGGATATCAGGCCGAAAACAGGACATCACAGATATGATCAGTTGTCTAGAAAAGGAGTTGTCCCTACTTTTTGACTGGTTCGCACAAAATTCACTCAAATTGAATTCATCGAAAACTCAAGTGATCGTTTTTGGAACCAGGGCCATGCTGAAAGATTTGCCTGCTGTTCATGTCAGAATGGGTAATACAGTGATCAGTGAATGTCGAGAGGTCAAAAACTTGGGGGTATACATGGATAGACATCTGACTTATGAGGGTCACATCGATCAGCTTGTGAGAAAATGCACTGGGACTTTGTTAGGTTTATTCCACGCGAGTCATGTCATCCCACGTTCTGTTATCAAGCAGATCGTGCTGTCATTGGTACTGTCAGCCATCCGGTATTGTATGTCGATTTATGGCACTTGTAGCGTAACCCAGCTTCACCGCGTTCAAAAACTGATCAACTTTAGTGCTAGAATCATTTGTCGCAAGAAAAAGTACGACCACATTAGCCATGAAACACACCGTCTTGGGTTTTTGACTGCACAGCAGCTTGTTGCGTATCACCAGCTTTGTTTAGTGCGCCGTGTTTTGGTGACCGGGTGCCCACGAGAGTTGAGGTTACTTTTTACAAGTCCCGACCACCAACATGGCACTAGGTACGCAGACCAATTAGTGACAACTCGTGCCAGAACCCAAGCGGGCGAAAGGCGCATTTCGAACGTAGGTGCCCGAAAATATAACAACTTACCGCGCGATGTGAGGGGAGCTGTGACCATGGCCGGTTTTAAGCGCGCACTGAGGTCCACACTCAGTGACAAATGAACGTGTGATGTGTAATTGTGCATGTGTTTATCTTGTCACTGTTCTTTTGTCTTTTACTCACCTTTTATCTTTTACCTTTGACGTGACTCATGAAAAGCCTTATATGCATTGAGGATGCTGTTGAATACATGATACTGCTGACACTGACCGCTGACTACTGTGTTCCAGCTGGTGATGGAGTACTGCGGAGCCGGATCTGTCACCGACCTCGTCAAATGTAAGCAAACTGCGTGTCGCTGCTATTTCTCGACTTTTTTGGCATATTTTCCATTTCAGAGGCCCCAAATTCCAAAATTTTGTCAACGATAGGGGTGAAAAGTAGACTGATGTTTTGTGGCTAGCCCTGATCAGTCGTTTAGCTGGCTTGCAGGTAGATCGGTGGCGTTTGTTGACCATGTCATGGCAACCACCAGCTTGACGACAGGTGCATGCTCCGTTTTGGCCGCGCCCAGGCTTGTCAACCATGTTATCTCTTGCTCTCTCTGGCTTCGCTCGCTGATATAACTGCGATTTGCTCACCCCCACCTGCTTGCAAATAAGCTGCCAGAGCTCTCCAGCAAGAACCACGCCGAAAGTCCGCTTACAAAGTTCAGAACTGCACTTGTCACTGACTCGACTGACTCGAGTCATCAACAGCAACAGCTGGTCATCAACAGCAAACGGTCTTCAAGCTCGATAGCTAAGGGATGTCTTACAAACGTATGATGCTCCTATCTCATTATGATCGAGCACAATCGTACTTTTGGCCAGAAAATAAGTGTTCGGTCAATTCTGGGACACCCTGTATGTAGAAAACCAACAAGTCCGATGGGGCTTAACCCTCGCCCTTATTGGTGTTTTGCTAGCCGCCAACGCACAGGGCGGGGCTAGGTTATTGGTTGACCTTCCAGGTCAGGTCAATGACTCAAAAGTGGGGAAAATCGTGATCTATTAAAACTTCGGAAGGTTCTTACGAGGGGTTTTCATGATCTGATCATGTGGTTTCACAAACTGATCACGAATTTCATACTAGCTTTGATCCTTGTTAGTATTTGTTACATCTTTACAGCCGCCGGGCCGTCCGGCTGGCCGCCGCTGCTGCAGCGGGCAGCGCTGCGGCGCAGTCTACCCGGCGGGCGCTCGGCCGCGCCGCGCGGCGCGTTCGCTGATTGGTGACCCGTGGATCACGTGACTGGCGGTGATGTGGGGCCGGTGCCGCGGCGGCGGCGCAGTCTGGCAGGAGAATCGGTCGGGACCGGGACGTTGTCCGTGTGGTGTGGCTCTCGGAGTCGGACTGATGTGCCGGCTTTGTCCTCTCGCTCCGCGGCAACGTGTTCGGCGTAATTTGTTGTACGCAGTTGAGAATGGGACTACTGTCCTGTTCGAAGCCCACCAACTAAATTGCGCCGAACAGCCAAAATCTTAAAGGGACCCTCCCACCTTCAAAAAAGTTTGTGAATTGGCATGAAAGTGATGTCGCTCGGTTCAGAAAGAGCGAAAACGAATATCTACCAAATTTCACCGAAAAATATTCACCGGTTTTCAAGATATTAGACTTTTACTTTTGTTTACTTTTTGGGATCTCCGCTGTTCCTAGCGACTTTATTTGGAAGCAATAGTTTGGCAGCTGAAAGTGCGGCACTTGTTGCGCGCAAAGCAGCATATACCACCGCTGCTACAAAACGTTTTAGTCAAATATTTAAAAATCGTTAGATATCTGCGCTGACGTCACGCATTCAGAGGGGTATTCCTATGCATTAGCCCCTCTGAATCAAAATGCTGCAATTTTGAAATTCAATATTTCCGATTTAAGGCATTTCTCGATGTTGAGTGCCGAAACCGGTAATTGTGAGCCAGGGACCCCATTTTGGCTATCTCAAGTCAAATCTAATGTTAAGGTGGGAGGGTCCCTTTAAGAGGTGGGATTGCAGTCCAGCGTCTAACATCAACCTCGTTCGGCTACCGGTACCCGACGCCTGGCCATGTTAATAAGCTATACGAGTATTAACATGGCAGGCCCCCATTAGGGATTTACTTACATTTCCTCGGCAATTATTTTGTATACACACGGCCTCACCGTGATTCAAGGAGGCTATAAACGGGTAGCGATTGCGCTCATGTCGTAATTGAGTTATACTGGCCATTGCACAGTTTGTCTGTACGATTGAATGACCTGATTTATTGTGGCAATAAGACGTGAGGAGCAAAATCCACAGTCTTTTGGTTAGACCTGATTTGAACAAAAGGCCAGAGGCGAGAGGGGAATCGAACAGTCGGGCTGAGTTACTGACAATCCTCGATGATGTCTTCATGTATTTAGGCCAGATCGGGTCGGGTCAGGTCAGGTCAGGTCAACCAGTAGGTGTCTTGCTAGCTGTCCATAGTAGGTGTCAATCAACCACCACTGACAGATTCGTGACTTGGTATGAAGGCGCCAAAATTGCTTCGTAAATGGCGCCAAAATTACTTCGTAAATGGCGCCAAAATTACTTCGTAAAATTACTTCGCATTGGTGCTAAATTCGAAATCAGCTAAAAAAAGCAGCCTAAAAACATATGAACCTAGAAGAAGTTAACGGGCACACGGTGCACACGGGCACGATGCGATTCGTGCCAATGCGTGCCATAAAATCGTGCAAGTGTCAGGGCCCCTTAAGCCGTCGTTTATGATTCTCCTGGCGGTTCTGGTCGAAACACCGAGGCCCCTTGGCAGTTTGCGCATGCTTCGCCTAGAACTTGAAACACTTTCTTGTGCAAGATATCAACCAGCTTTTTGAAGCGGAAATCCCTTGTTCTGCCTGGCATGGACTTCGTCCACACTAACACTGTCTTTTAAAGTCATTTTATTACACTGCAAGCACTGCAAGCATTTAGTCACTGCAAGCAGTTTTTACGGCAACACCGAGCTGTTTGGCAACGCTTCGGGAGTTGTGGCCAGCCTACTTCAGAGCCGCAATTTGGGCTCACTTAGTCATCTTCGCCACAGCTCACCAACAATCATTACATAATGTAAAAACGATCTTAATGTTGATGCATCAGTCAGTTGGGAAACTCCATGCAAAATTTTATCAAAATCCGTTCATAACTTTTTTAGTTATGGACTGAAAACAAACAGGTAAATCTTTCTGCCCCACCCTGTATGCGCCTTTAGCTGTACTGTACGTCCGGCTGCACTGTGGTTGCTGACGGCGGCTCACCGTGCCGACAGCCACCAAAGGCAGCTCACTCAAGGAGGAGTGGATCGCCTACATTTGTCGCGAGATGCTTCGCGGCCTCAGCCACCTGCACGCCTGCAAAGTGATTCACCGCGACATCAAGGGACAAAATGTGCTGCTCACGGACAACGCCGAAGTCAAACTCGGTAAGAACCCTACCGATCCACTAACTAGGCCAGCGCATGGATGATATAACACTGGATTGGTGTCTCGTGGAAATTAACATTGGGATCCGCGACATTGGGATCAGGCCTGCCATCTAGCGAGAGAATTATCGTAAGTTAGGAGCAAGCCGAGTGAACGCCATCTCTCAGCATTATGACACACGTGGGTGTGGTGTGTTAGTTGGCTTGAAGTGCATTTTCCCACGAGTTGGAGGTAATCTTACTGGACCTGAGACGACAAAAAATGTCTTAAATGCTTGTAAGCCAAAAACGTCAAGCAGCCTTTAGGTAATAACGAAAATAAAATGCGTAAGACGGTGTGTAATGAAGCGCCCAGTCCCATCGGCTTGTACGACCTTTTATATTGTCATTTACTCACAATGGTACAGCAGTTTGACAATATGTCACTTACATATTTGGTAGGCTTATTCCCTCTTCTCCGAATTTCGCCCTATTTTCTTCATCTAAGTTAATGTTACGGCACGTGCCACGTGCCAACTTAGGGGTGTCGAAATTGTTCCACATAAAGTAACTCCGCAATGGCTGGGCCAATTACAGTAAAACTTCGTCAATAGTTAGGCATCCAGTGGCCAATGCATTTCCATGTGTCACTATGGGGTTGCTACTGCACGTGCGGCGCACGTGGGGGGGGGGGGGTGCCGCTTCCATATCTCAAGAACGGCTGGGCGGATAACACTCAAACTTGGTACACAAATGTCACATCGATGCTCGCACTGCATTGATCAGTGCTTACATTGGTGCAGAGTCGTTAGGAAAACGATGAAATGAGATTCGTGGTGTTAATGCCTTTCTGTTCCAGCAGCTGATTGATTCGCAACAGGAGATCCTTGTTTGTGAACGCTTCGTCTCCCTTTTCCACCCCTTGTTTAAAATAACATTAACAATGTACGAAGAAGATCACACATCAAAGTTGTTTTAGGCGGCTATCTTGGGCCAGGGCTGCGAAGTTGTAGTCAGAGCCAGCGGTTCTGTTCCGACTCGAAGTCGGTTAATTTTTAAAAGCTGTAGTCGGAGATGAGTCGAACGTCACCGAAAAGTCATCGACTCCACCGATTCACCAGGGCTGCAGAGTCGGAGTCAGAGTCGGAGTCTGTGTGAATCGACAGTTCTGCCCGGAGGAGTCGGAGTCGATATTTGGATACCGGAATCGGAGTTGGAGCCAAAGTCACTGAAATTTCATCGACTACGCAGCACTGGTTGGGTCCTTTTCATATAGCGTCTTGAATGACATATTGAACGGCAATGACGTTAGCAATTCCGTTTAAAATTTTCATTAGACTTATAGATAGTTACTTACGTTCGCTTTGTTCTTTGATCGGACAATGCAAGGCCATATATAGGCCTTGCATTATATGTGTTTGGACAAAGGGACAATGTGTTTGATTTAGGCCAAGTAAAGACTCATGTGAAAAATAGCGAAAACGACACGTGCTGGCGAAGTCTCCAATAACTCCCTGTTTCACGATTTAATGAGGAAATAACGTGGAACTGCTTATCTTATTACTGACCCTGCACATAAATCTATTAATTTCTTCGCTGTTACTGACATATAAAGACATAACCTTTTGAAAAATTGCACAACAAGCCTGCTACTACACCACACTCCCGTGTGTCACAATGCTAATCAGCGGCGTTCACTCGGCTTGCTCCTAACTTACGATAATTCTCCCGCTAGATGGCAGGCCTGAGCTCAATGTCGCCAAAAACTGCGAAGACACCAATCCATTATTATGTCATCCATGGCCAGCGTTATCGTGCCGCTGCGCTGCCGGGAGTGGGCCGGGTGCACGGACCCAGGGTGAATGTTTGACGTCAACGACGCGGAAAGCGCCCATTTTACCTGGATGAGTTACAGGGTAGGTGATATATTTGTTGAATATGGAAAAAACAGAATATTCGATTCTGACGAGTAAAACAAATTTCATGTGGCAGTTATTTTTAAATTATATGTACCAGATAAAACATCCTAATCATAGTTTAAAACTTAGTTTAAAGTTAGTTGAAAAGCGTATAGTTGATACTAAGATGGCAGGAATCAATGGAAGGCAGAAATGCCGCAGCTGTTCCATTCTTACAACGTGTTCGCAAGCAGGAGTTGCGTGATGCTAGCGACATCTATTTATTTAAACCGAGACGCTGATTGGCTGATTGAATCCGTTAGCAGTATCACTAATTTACTTTTGCCAGTACAGGGCTGATGCAATGTGCGCATGCGCAGGAACTTGTGCTCTCATGGACGGGCGTTTGGTACATCGTGCAGCGCCCAATGCTTTTTGGACCTGTTATGGCCTCCGCATCGAAAAACGCTAGATAAAAAGGTTGTAGGGAAAGCTTGAGGCTGCCTTTCTCTACAATAACATTGGCACTTTCTCTTATGGCTTACGTGTGAGGCTCGCTTGAAAAAGGTCGATTTAACATGGGAACCCTATGGGGTAGTAGGTTTTGAGCGCCCATTTGGCCTAATGCTACCAACTGTTACTGGCTACCCCTGGGCCCTGGCACGGACCGGCCAGGGACGGCTCAGCTGCTGCCGGGAGTGGGCCGGGTACACGGACCGGCCAGGGACGGCGTAGCGCCGCGCCGCTTGGGGTAGCTTTTGGTACATCAATTTTGGACAATGTGTGAAATTTTTAACCCCAGGTCATGTCAGGTCAGGTCACCAGGTCAAGTTAACTGACCAAGCCTAAAAAAGTTTGCAATCATGTCCAGCCTGCAGTGTTTGTCAGAAAGGTTTTAAACTTGGTGGATTGCATGCTGTTATGGGCGCCTACAATTTGTATATCTCGGATTTTTTTTATATCCGTGACCTAAGGTCAGGTCAGTGGCGTGACCTTTCCATTACAAGTCAATGGAGAAAAATGAAAATGCCTCTAGATCCGTGTGTACGCATAGGAACAGTCCAAATATTTCAGAATCACAATGATTTAGTCCACTCGTGATGACCAAGGTGTCATTTTTGCTGATAGCCTCTAGAAAGGTCATCCGAGGTCATTTGAGGCTACAAACAGTTTTTTGCCAATAACTCGCGATTGGAAAGAGATGGAATACTGCGGATGGTCTCATTGTGTCTGTCTTGTTGAGACGCATCGACTGATATGCAACATGACCTTTTCAGGTCAGGTTATGACCTTGACCTGAGGTCAAATTTTCAAGTTCAACTTTTAGTTCATTCGACGCGTCTCGGCGAGGGGAACACGATTCTGGCAATAGAAATGTCGTGGCTTTTAGTAGTCGAAAGTTATTGTCGAAAAACACTTTTCGTAAAAACAGCTATTTTTGTAGTTTTTGCCCTCTGGAGGCTAAACCGTTGACCTGAGGTCAATATTGATAATGACCTTTTCAAAAGAAGAGTTCAAAAGCTATCGATTGCTCTTCCAGGAGTTTTTCTAGCTACCATAGTTCCTGAGATAGCGGCATGTTTTCTGAAAAATATAATGACAATTGGCAAATTTTGACCTTTGATGACCTCTGGTGACCCCAATATTGCTCTAAGATGAAAAATGACCGAAATACTTTCAAGCGTACGCATTGAGAGCTATCGACTGCTTTTACCGCGTCTTTCTAGCCCTCTTAGTTTTTGAGTTAGAGGTGGGTGGTAACATATGCCCCCCCCCCCCCCCCACTAGGGCGAAGTTGGCTGAGACCGCCACTGGGGCGCGGGTTAAAAACATTTACTTTCGCTAAAACCTTATGCTAAATCGCTTGAAAAGTTGGGTCTCCATCCTGGCAAACGGAATGACATCAAGCCAAGGGTCAAGCGCATTTCTGGCAAGCAACTGTGAAGTGGAGCTTTGTTTGAGACACTCAAAATAGTAACTGGGAAGGTGAAGATTTACAATTAAGGAGAGACTATTTAATTGAAAAAGAACAAAACACACGGACAAGAGGACATCAACTGAATAGAATAAAGGGAGACCCAGTAACCGAACCATTTCCGATGTCGGCATAGAATAAACCAACATTAACCAACTAGCTTGGATCTGAACTTGAGCTAAGAAAGAACAAATAAAGGGTCTTGTGAGTACTAATTTATACGATGCTGAATACTTTGTGGGTGCAGTACACGGAGATGCAACTAAAAGCAAAATCGCTTACCGCCGTGCCCGCTGGCAGTTCGAGAGGCACAGTTTGAGCATTTGTCCCTCTCACTGCGCCCCAAATGTACGAAATTATGCATTTTCCCTCGCATTGAAAGGAAGCCCAACATTCTTTACAAGAAGAAGTTACAAGAAGCCTACATAGGTCAAATATTGTGAAAATAGCTGTTTTGGGATGCAACTTTCACGAATAACTTTTGAATCAGCAAAGATGAAGAATTGGCAATGGCACTATCGTGTTACTCTCCTTCAGTCGCTTCGAATCATATATTTTTTACTTGGAAAGGTCAAGGTCAAATTTTGACCTCAGGTCAAGGTCACGTGGTGACCCAAATAGGTGATGTTGCATATCATTCGATGTGTCTCGACAAGACAAACACAATTTATCCAGCCATCCCCAGCGTTCTATCTCTTTCCAATCGCGAGCTATTAGTAAAAATCTGTTTGTAGCCTCAACTGACCTCTGATGACCTTTCTAGAGGCTATCAGCAAAAAGACACCTTGGTCGTCACGGGTAGTCTAAATAATTGTGATTCTGAAATATTTGGACTGCACGGGTCTAGCGGCATTTTCATTTTCTCCATTGATTTATAATGGAAAGGTGACGCCACTTTCCTGACCTTAGGTTACGGATATAAAGAATCCGAGATATACAAATTATAGTTGCCCATAACATCATGTAATTCACCAAGTTTATGCCTCTCTTACAAACACTGCAGTCTGGGCATGATTGCGAACTTTTTTTGGCTTGGTCAGTTAACTTGACCTGGTGACCTGACCTGACATGACCTGGGGTCAAAAACTTCACACATTGTCACACATTGTCACACAAGCGGTGCGGCTTGGAGTATCTTTTATCCCCCCCCCCCCACTGGGGCGAAGGTTAAGTGTTATAGGAATGTGCAGTGGAAGGGGGGTGGGGGGGGGAAGGTATGGAAACGAAGGTTTTGAAATATGCGTATGTGCTTTATGTTTTGCCTGCATTTACCCATTCCGCTCTTTACCACTTTTTATGTTGTGACTATCGGCACAGAATAGCCACAAGTGTATGTGGAGTGAGCTGGGAATGTCAATGCATTGAGTGTCTTGTGTGAGCCGTGACCCGTTGGGTGTCTGGACCGGTGGTCGGCAACACGTCAGGTGCCGTGTTATGATCCGCTGAGTGTCTGGTGACTGGACCGTGACTGCCCTGGGTCCGGCCGGCAGTGGACTTTGGCGTGAGCGCGCAGCTGGACCGCACCATCGGCCGGCGCAACACGTTCATCGGCACGCCCTACTGGATGGCGCCCGAAGTGATCGCCTGCGACGAGAACCCGGAGGCCACCTACGACAACCGCTCTGACCTGTGGTCGCTGGGCATCACGGCGCTGGAGATGGCTGAGTCGCAGCCGCCGCTCTCCGACATGCACCCGATGCGCGCGCTCTTCCTCATCCCGCGCAACCCGCCGCCGCGGCTGAAGACCAAAAAGTGGAGCAAGAAGTTTCAGAGCTTCATTGAGACGACGCTCATTAAGGTAAGCTCGCCACAACAGTGACGTATAGGGTGAAGTCGTTTAAGAGTACGCACTTAGTGGATTTCTTGCTCTCATTTGTTTAATATTTGAAAGAAAGAAATCGCAAATATGGAATATTAAAGTTCATTGAATTAGTCATCAACCCATGAGGCAACAATCCTTCAGCGTAAATGAAAGTGGTCTAAAACTGACATTTTCTGAACCGCTGCTGTTGCGTACTCTTACCACATGGGGTGTGTTAGAGTACGCACGCCAGGCGGGTGGAGTACGTAAGCATACTGTTATAAAAGTTGAACTAAAAGGCCGGTTCAGAAAACTTGAAAAGAAAGCAAACTTTACACATTTAGGGGAGAGTGGGGCAAAGCGGCCACCCTAACGCTTCTCACGATGCCAACGCTTGATTTTTAAACTTAGAAAGATTCTTTCTATACCAATGTGATCCCTATTAAGTTGCCTTTTATTTCAACTGCGTTTTATTTCCAAAGGCGTTCACATATGAAAGATATTGACAAAACTTTAAACCTATGCATATTGGCCACTTTGCCCCATACCCTGGGGCAAAGTGGCCACCGGCGTCTTCTCAAGTCCTGATATGAGAAACAAAATAGTTGCCTCGTGTACGACTAGGGTATTTGATGGTGACAAGGTTAAGCGAGGATGGATGGTTACTTTATCATCTTCCACCTGTAGGTAAACAAAGAAAGGATTTTCATGAAAATAAACATTCAATTGCATTATTTGGTAAATCATGCAGCTGAAAAGTGGCCAAGATGAATGCATGACGACACATTTGAATATAAATAATGTTTTTTATCCAGATGGAAGCAACTTATGGCCAATTGGGGGGTGGCCACTTTGCCCCGGCCACTTTGCCCCGCGCATACCGTCCGAGACAAAAATATTCCAGCTTAGCTATTAGTGGGGTAAAAAAACATTAAAATTGGTAGAATACATGTACGATAACCATGCAATGCATGGACAAGAACGCTTATAAAAATTCCAAACGGCTATGAAATTACATAACATTTAAAAATTGTAAATATAGTTGGTAACCTGGCAAGAAATGCTTTTCCGTGTTTCACAGAACAATGGTGATGGGCCTGAAACCCCGGTCTGGCTCATTCGAACGACCGTGAAGAGAAGTATAATTGGAAACCATAAATTGGAACTGACGCCAGCTATGAAGGGCTAAAACGATGGGTGGCCGCTTTGCCCCGGGTGGCCGCTTTGCCCCACTCTCCCCTATATTTGAATCACTCTGGCGAACTCGGTGATGAGGCAAGGCGGTAGCACATGACAACTGGCACGTCTTCACAGCTCGGCGGCAGGTCAGCAACAGGCGGAAATTAATACAAAACAAAGCCAAATCGGCGCGGTTACACATGGCAGCACAACGTCACAGAAAAATATGCGAAGGATTCAGGAAGTTACCAAATACAAAGGAAAGTTTTACCGGAAAGGAAGGCGGGGTATAACAAACATGGAACTAGATGAAGGCAAATAAAGGTAACTGGCTACTAATTAGGACACACTCCCCACTCGAAGTGACTCACTTCGAAACAGAAACAGATAATACACGGCGCTCGACAAACACAGTCACAAACACTTCACTGACTCACTTCGCGCGTCACGCGGCAGTCACCCACGCGCTGAGTTTACTCGCCGGCGGCCTCCAGCGCGTAAAGTTTGTTCACAGGACGCCGAGTCGTCCTTCCGCGCAGCGAGATGACCGCGGCGCGAGCCTGTCCGTCAGGCCCATGCAGTAGCGCGGTGATACGCGCCAGCGGCCACCGGCCGCGCGGCCCGTCCTCGCGCACCAGCACGACGTCACTGATGCCGAGGAGGCGACTGGGCCGGCCACGCGGAGAGGTGCTCCAGCACCGCAGGGCGCTCAGGTACTCTGAGGTCCATCGACGGTTGAGGTGATCGCAGACGCGCCTCCGATGCATCCAGGTCCTGGTGATGGGAGACTCAGTCAGAGTAGGACAGATCACCCCGTCGATCGCAGTCACCCCGAGCAGAAAGTGGGCGGGCGTGAGGACGTTCTCCCCATCCCCCTGGGTGAGTGGGCGCAGATTGATGGCGAAGGCCAGCTCGTACAAAGTAACAGACAGTTCCTCGAAACTGAGATGGCACAGATGCAGCGTGATCCTGAGGGCTTTCTTGGTGACTCCCACGAGCCGCTCCCAAAAACCTCTCCACCATGGGGCAGACTCGGGGATGTACTTCCATGTCACAGAGCGAGGGAGGTGACCCGTTAAGGCATGAAACGTGCGAGCGTTGTCACTGTAGACTAGCATCGGTGTGCCGCGAATCGCGAAGAATCGTCTAAGCGCGATGATCAGATCAGAGGTGGCCTGGGAGCGCACCAACTCTAAGTGGACAGCCCGCGACGTGGCACACGTGATGAGTAAAATCATTCGCCGGCTGTGTCCGGAACGTAGGCAGGGCTCCCTCCGGCGACCGGTACGGCAGGCCGCGGTATTTGCGACCCCGCGTGCAGGAGTCCACCACACGACGGACAGTTCGCCGCCTCACCATGTATCCTGCTGACAGCAGCGCCAACGTCACCCGGGTGCCCTGGTGGAAACAGAGGCGGTGCGCATCGTCAACAATCAGGGTGGTGACGTGAGATAGGTCTGGCAGCACTGGAACGGCCCGCTCCCCACTTCGCAACGTCGCCTCCAGCACACCATCGTCGCTCAGCTGCGGGTGCAGCTTCTCCAGCGGTGAGTCAGCCGGCAGCAGCTTACCAGTTCGCAGGGCGCCGATCTCCTCACGATAGGCACTGGCCTGTGCCTCCCTGATGTAGAAGCGCAGACTTTGGCTCCTCTCCTCCGGCGTCAACGGGCCCACCTGGCGCTCCGCTCTGGGCAGACGGCTGTTGGACAGGAAACGTCGCACCCAAGCCAAACGATTCACAGCGGTCTTCAGGTCAGAGCACGAGGTTATGAGCGCAGCGGTCTCGGCGGGAGGCACTGACCTCGTCACAGGATGACTGCAGGCCACCGACGACTGCAGCTTCTCCTCGGCCTCTGCGGCAGGACTGATCCCAGAGACTGGTTCCGGCTGCGACGGCGGGTTCGGCGTCAGCAGGAACGGCGGTCCCTTCCACCACCTCTCGCTGGTCTCGCCTGCGGTGAGCTGACTCAGGGCGATTCCTCTCGTCCCCAGATCCGCCGGGTTCTCCGCTCCCGGGACGAACTGCCAGCTCCCAGGGTCGGTCAGCTGCCTGATGGCTGTCACGCGGTTTTGCACAAACACGCGAAACAGTTTGGCACTGCGAATCCAACACAGCACATCTATTGAGTCAGACCAGTATGTCACGCGGGGGTCAGCCAGATTCAGGGACTCTCTGACAAAGTCCATCAGCCGAGCCCCGGTCAGCGCCGCCATGAGCTCCAACCTGGGTATGGTTAGGGCGGGTTTGAGAGGCGCCAATCGAGCCCTGGCGACGAGCAGGTGCACCTCCCCACCCTGGAGCACGTACACAGCAGCGCAGTACGCAGATCTCGATGCATCACAAAACACATGAAATATCGGTGGCTCAGCCCCGGCCTCAGTCGTCATCACTGAGCGGGGAAACCAGACAGTCTTACTGACCGAGTCATGCCACCATGCGTCCACCTCCTCTTGCAGGTCGAGTGGAAGTCGGTCGTCCCAATCCAGCTGTTCTTCCGTCCACGATCGCTGGAACAGCTGCTTCCCCCGCACCAGCCACGGCGTCAGCAGTCCAAGCGGGTCGAACGGCTTGGATACTGCGGACAGCAGGTCACGTCTGCTACACGGGTGGGTGATCGCAGGGACGGTTACGGCAAGGTCATCAGCACCTGTGCGCCACATTAGACCGAGGACAACGGCATCGTCAGACACATCACCTGTCATCCTCGCCTTGTGCAGCTCCATCTTCGCGTCGCCGAACACCTCCGTGATCTGCCGCATGCCGGTGGTAGCCTCCTCTGTCGTGGAGAACGTCGGGCAGAGGTCATCCATGTAGAGAGCCGTCTCCACCTTCTCCATCAGATCTGGGTACAGAGACATATACTGCCTGACGTGATGCGATATCGTACGCAGCAGCATATACGGCGAGCACGTGATTCCGAAAGGCACCCTTCGGAATCTCAGACACTGGTCCCGCCACAGGAACTGCACGAAGCGCCGATCGCGCTCCTCCAGGGCGATCTGGTGAAAGGCCGATCGGACATCAGCCTGGCACCCCACAGAGTTAGTGCGGAAGCAGAGGATGACTGCAGGTAGGCGGCGAAGCAGGTTCTCGCCGGGCTCGAGGTACTCATTCAAACTCCTCCCTACACCGTCAGGGGCCGAGCCGTCAAACACTACCCGCAGCTTACCATTCCGGTCCAAGCCGCGGTGCGGGAGGAAGAAAGCAAAGGACGGGTCGTCAGTGGTGGGCGGCGCGTCCTCGATCACTCCATCCTCCTTCAGCTTCTCGATATGATCGTCGTACCGGCGGAGCTCTTCTGTCCCCATCTTCGTCGCCAGACGACGGGTGCGCGCCTCGGCAGACGGCAGGTTGGACGCCGGCCGGCAGTCAGACTTCCAGAGAAGTCCCATCTGGTACCGGTTCTCTTCCTCACTCCAGGTCGGACCGGGCGTCGTCTTCTCTGCTGCGTCTCCTGCGGACACTCCGACGGCATCCAATGTCCACATGCGCTCGACTTCCGACAGCTGGCAACGGTAGGCGTGACGAAACACAGGCGGTTCCTGACCCTGGGCCCGTCCGTGGAGTACATATCCATAGACCGTTTCTACCAAACGCAGCCCCGGGCTCACCTCCATCTGACCCCACATTACCACTCGGTACAACTGGTCACATCCGATCAACATGTCAACTGGCACATCACGGAAATCATCAGCCAAATCGACACTGGGCGGCAGCAATAGCACAGGCGGTTTGGCTCCCACAGGAGCACACAGCTTCTCCGTCTTCCAGAACGACAATATGGCCTCACCTCTCTGGTGTCCCCTCACCTGCGCGC